TGTGTATATTCTAAGTTCAATTCTGTTCACTTTATGTTTATGTCGGCATACCCACCAATATCCTTTGACGCCTATTTCTGCACTTGTTGTTTATAGGGATATTTTCTAGGTTAACCATCATGGCACATAATTCTTTTAATATTCTGAGGTGATACTGAGTACAAAATTTATTTTGATATCGTATAGGGTTAACTGAGTACATATTGGGATCACCGCAGATCATCTCTTATATCAAAGATTCCTGAGAGGCATTAAATTCAGTCCAGATCTTTAGTATTTCCAGGCACTAATCATATACTAGTGTGGGTCTAATTTGATTGGGTAGCACACATGCAGACTTAGGTTTCCATCTTAAGTCAATCAGAGTCAAAAAATATTTTTCTTAATTTACTCTCAACATCTAGATGGTTTAAAAATAGTTAATTAAAGATGTATTTTTAATGTTAGTATCCAATGAGTTCCAAATTGGTGCTGATCTTTGAGAAAATAAATTTGGCAATGTTTAAGCTTCATGTTCACAAAAAACAGTATGCTAAATGAACGGTTTTTCCCTTGACACCACTATTATTTTAACTACCTTCACTGCTCCTTCTTTTAAAAAGCTATGATTAGAATTTTAACAAAACTGAAACATGGAAATGAATTTGTATTTTCTTTGTTATTGAGAATTTACAACAAAATATTAAACACTATTTATTAGATTTATTTAACAAGAGCTAATTTCGAATTGAGTCAAACTTTATAAAATGGTAAATAAGTAATTCATTATAGTTGGTTCACATATTCTTATAATTTAGTAAATGTTTATAAATTTATGATTAAAAAATTGTTTCATATTTATTTATTTATAAATTGTTAAATGATAAATATTGCATTCTATTAGTTTTTAAAAAAAGTGGAGGATTATTATGCGATATCTCTCTTATATCTGAATACTGGCTGAAAACTGGAGGTAACAGAAATGTGGCTCTACAGAATGATACTGAGAATTCCATGGGTGGAGTCAGCAAGCAAACAAAGAGGTTTCAAGGAAAATAGCAACAACAAAAAAAGCTTATCAGGAAGAAACAGCTGAAATTCTTTTGGATACATAGCAAGGAAGGGCGATTGGGAAAACTTGACCCTCACAGGACACTTTGAGGGCAATATGGGGAAAAGGGAAGGCAGTGATCCACCTACCTGACAAGGTTATGTAAATGGATGGTAGTACAGGCAGAGAGTGGTGCCTTACCAAAAGTAACAAAACTACTAAGGGCCACAAGAGATAGGATGTCTTGGAGAGCCATGATTGCCCATGTCCATAAGGAACATAGCACATAGTATGAGATTGCCTTATATTGAAAAAGGGGCCTTGACCATTGTCTGAAGCACAGAAAGAGCTTGACAATTTTTATTAGGTGAGAAGTTAATGTTAAAGTGCGACATTCCATCCCTTGCAGGAGAGAGGTGACATAGAGAAACAATAATTTCTTTTCCATTTGGCAACCTGACAGGAGCATAATCGGGATTCGCCTGAATCATGTCAATTTCTCATACAATCAATTCGTACTTGTTGTTTTAAACGTAGTTTCTCAAGAGCACTTTTCCAGGAATCGTCAACCACGAAGGAACAGATCTTCCGGAGGTAAATTTCCTCGGATGAGGAGTACAATTCGTGGCTGTACACACTAAAGAACGAATCAAATGAAGAGCGTCACATAAAACGGTTTCCCATTGAGGCACAGGTAAACCTTTTGATTTTAACGCTAAATTGATCGTCCACCACAGAGTTCCGTTCAGTATCTCCACTTGGCCGTTTCCTCGTAGGTTTTACGCAGTAGATCTACTAGTAGCTATTCCTTTCTCTTGAAATCTTCTTAACTCCTCCGACATAAAACTAGGTCCTCTATCAGAGTCTATATAACTTGGCATACCAAATATGCAAAATAATTTACTTAAATAAGTCAATAAAGTTGTAGTAAACATGTTCCTACACGCAAAAGTGAAAGGGAAATTACTATATTCATCAATTATAGTCAATAAATATTTGTTTCCTCCTCGATTCGAAGGAAGCGGTCTCTTGAAATCTATATTCAATCTTTCGAAAGTTTGAGTGGCTTTGATTAATTTGTCTTCTCCTATCACAAATCTTGGCTTTTCTACGGCACGCACATTACATTTTTCAGTCATTCTCTTTATTTCCTCCGTTGAGTAGGGCAAATTTCTCGACCAGATAAAGTGCATCATTCTTGTTACTCCAGGATGACATAGATTATTATGTAATTTCTTAAAGTCGATATTTACGACAGAAGCGCAATGTACTCTCGTTAACGTATCTGGGCATACGTTTTTGATGCCCGGTCGATATCTGATACCATATTTGTAAGTGAAAAGTTCAATTCACCAGCCGTAAATGTTGTCGTTTTTAGTCTTCGAAGTTTTATGCTTATCGAAAATGTAGGATAGAGCTTTATGGTCCGTGACAAGAATAAAATATTTACCTTTTAGTTAGTTTATGACTTCATTCCCTGATTGCTTCGATAATCACGTTAGCTTTTTTCTTTATTGGTGAGTGGTTCTGTTCAGTAAGGGTTTAGAGTTCTAGACCAGAAGTAGCTAGCATCAGTTTCAATTTCAAGGGTTTTTTCCTGGTCTAGAGTCTGTACTACAACCCTTTCTAATTCCTTTTTCAAATATTCAAAGGAATATTTTTTTTTAGCAGAGGAATATAGTGTTGTTATTTAGCGCATTAACTTTTAGCGAATAGTTTGGGATCCAACGACTGTAGCAAACGAGCATTCCATTCCACAGTGGCGTAGCCAGGTGGTCGGAGGGGACGACCGCACGGGTGACACTTTGGGTCCGCGGTGAGTTTTCAGAAAAGAAAAAGAAAAAAACGATAGCATAATTTTTGCAAAACTGTAGCGATAAGGAAGAAGATGGGATTCAAATGAAGCCAAATTATCTTTGATATGTCTGGATCAAAACCAGCTAGCAAGCAATAAAAAATTGTTTCCAAAACTCGCTGTCAGATGGTGGGGATAATCCCCACTTATAAGATGTGAGCAAAAGGTGTGAAAAAATTTGAACATTTTTCAAGGGTTTGATGTCGGGTTGGATTAAGTGAATTTAGTGAATCCACAGTTTTTTCACGCCTATGTGAGAAGTCCAGACGTTGGCGTCAGTTCTTTGATTTTTCATGTCTGTGAACTGTTAGTGAAAAAAATTAAATAAATAAGTGGACCAATCGTTTTATCTTATAGGCCTAGCTTTAATACGGATATAAAATCGTTACTTTTCATAAATTATAAAATAGATAGATAAATAAATTGAAATAAGTCTAATGCTTTTAAGGATATCACGTGCATTTTAATTTTTTCTGGAAATATCAAACGGAAATGTAAAAAAAAATTGAAAATTAATATATATTTTTTTAAGCGCAGAAACTTTATTTAAAGTTTAAAAATGGTCACTTTTTTCAATTTACAAGTTTTCACGGTAGTAAAACAATGCGATATTTTATTTTTTTGTTTAGATAGTCTATTTTGCTTAATAAAACTTCAACTAAGATTAAAAGTATAATAACATTTATTTCAGTTTTAAAAAGTGAAATTAATTTTATCGGACTTTTAATTCTTAATCTAATACTTTGCTAATAAGAACTTCAACTACGTAAAACTGAAAACAATAATTTCAAAAAACAAACCATGTTTCTGTTTTAACTTCATGACATTTTTAATTTAAAACTCATCACTTGTTAGAATTGAAATAAATATTTAAAAAAAAACTGATAAATTATGAACTAAAAGTACAATATGTCTTTTTTATTAGGTTTTTCTTTTTAAATAAAACATAGGGTATATAAACAAAAACAAGTTATCTTTCTTTTAAAAAGTTTTTAGAAAAAAAGAAGTTACGTCTTCGTTGTTCTTTTTATTTTAACATATCCCCAGTTTTATTTAAAAAAATAAATAAATTGTACTTTTATTTCATAATTTATCAGTGGGAAGTTATAAATACATACCACATTTAACAGAAACACGGACTTATCCCACGTGTAGTATGTGTGAAAATATGGCAGAAGCTGTCATAAAAAATAGTAAATATTCAATGTCTGAAGGCACAAAACATTGACATAATTAGAATGTTTCTTTTATTCTCTTTCCATACATGTAATTCTTTTAACGATTGGACCACAAATAAAATATTTTATGATTTGTTAAGCACATTGAGACGAAAATTCGCCAAATGCAGTCAGGTTGCTGGTAATGGAAGAGAAAGGTAATCGAGCAGATATGGAAAAAACAGACACAAGTGACAAAATAGTTTTATTATAGATTAAGGTTATAAAATGCTTATGTAATATTGTGTTATTTGTTTACAAAATAAATATAAGATAAAAAAGGGTCAACTTTTATTACAATCAATATATATATATTATTTCAGGTATAAATTAATATTACAAAAAATTATTACTACTACATGGTACATTGGTAAAAAATTGTTGGTACGCCACTTCAGATAGTTTAAGAAGCACTAGTTTATTATTTTTTTATTTTTTTGTTTAACACAGTAACACGTCTTTTGAGAGAAGTGTATTTTTTGTAGGCCAGACGGTGTGTATGAAAAAATTGTTCAAAATTTATGGCCTCGTCGGCTCAAGTCAGTCTACCGCCAAAATTGATTGACAAATTAGGATTCAATGTGTGAATTTTTGGAGAAAGGTTTGTTTTACATATATATATATATATATATATATATATATATATATATATATATATATATATATATATATATATATATGTGTGTGTGTGTGAAAAGTGTATATAAATATAAATAAATATATATATATATAATTATTTATATATTATATATGCGGTACTTATTAGAAAGCGCTCAATATCAGAGATAGAGCTAACATATTTGGTTGGATAGATGTGAGTTTGTGACCCTGGGTTTCACGCTTTAGGGTCACAAACTCACATCTATCCAACCATATATATATATATATATATATATATTTAGAGAGAGAGAGAGAGACAGAGAGAGAGAGACAGAGAGAGAGAGAGAGAGAGAGAGAGCAATGAAAAACAAGTTTTCGGGATGTGTGAAAATTTGTACGGTCCCTGCTTGATCCTACTTTTCTAAATAAAAAGGACTGCATGAGAAGATAAGTTTTTTTTTTTCAGTAGGAATCAGAACAATTGAGGAGAGGCAATTTGCACCCAGAAACTCACTAGCTGACGGGGGTCATAAATCAATCCGTGGAAAGACTTCAAGGCAGATTTTCTCATCCTTTTCTGTGCCATCCCGAGTAGAATTCAACTTCACACCAAAATACCTCAAGAAGCCACCGAGAAAACTGTAAATCTCGAAACCTTTTCAAGATCCAAGTATTTTATTAAGAACGGAGGTGGGTGCGTTTTTTGTATATTCTACGATATACGATTTTATCGCTGCTTCCTTCAAGTTTTCCCCCTTTTTTTTCTAATTTTGTAAAAAGGTTTCATTTTTGTAGAATCCAAAATTATATCAAATAACTTGTAACATTGTTTTGTTTCTTCTTTCTGTGGGTAATCCATTTTTTGTTATCCTGCCGTAATAGGCGTACGAAAGGAAATTTTTGTGCAACCTCTGTATTGTACCATTTTTATTTTTGTGAACTGTATAAGAAATGTGTTTTCCCAACTTAGTAAAATTTTACACAGTGGTTGTCGTGATCTTTAATTTCGCGCTCATTATCGTGAGTTACTGTTTCTACCAACTGGGTTTTGTGTCTGGCACAAGGACTTGAAGTTGGTAGGAAAGTAAAAAAAAAAAATATTTGCACAAAAAATATTAAGTATACTGGCGTTACCGTGGTAATGTTAAGAACAAAGTTAGTAGGCTAATTGGGCTATGCAAGCATATGTTTTCTACACTTCTCAATGTCCTCTAAGGAAATAGAACTATAATTTATTATTGAGATTAGACTGCAGCTTAATCGTAGGTGATATTGTAAAGTTTTGATACCTAATTTTTCCATTTATTTTGTCTTCTATAGGGGAAACTGTTTACATGGGTCATAGACATCATTGAAGTTTGCCTATTATTTCAAGTTTTTAACATTAACTAATATTTTATTATTCTATCACTCTTTCCCCAGATGAAGCAAGTGACGGAAAGGGGTGGTGATTTAAGAAAAAAAGAGAAAGGCAAGAGGAGAATTAATTAAAAAAAAAAGCATGAAGGGGCGCTATTGAAATACATCAAAGGCAAGCGTACAGAAATACTACTAACATCGACCAAACCACTACTGAAACTGGAAAAGTTTTCGAATCTAAACCATTATCAGATTCAAAAGATTCGACTCCAAGTGTTTCGTCAACTACAAGTAATATAGAACACGAGCCTCACGAGAAAGAAAATATTGCAGATGTGGACAGAGTGGACTTAAAAGATGTTGGTCTATGGCCAAGATTAACAACGACACATGTATCTTACTGGTACGTCAAGGTGCAGCTGTAATTCAAAATCTAGATTCTAATTTTTGTGAAGTAATCCGTCAAGGTGTATCAACCAAACGATAAACTAACACGCGAGTGGTTTTTCAAAATTTTGTCAGGCGGTGAAAAAAATATCATGGATGGTGTCCTCCACTTCCAAGAAATCTCTTCTACTTTTGTTGCAGACTCTTTCCAGATAGAAGAAACTCAAATTTTAATTACGTTGATGGATTCAAAACTGAATCTTAAAATATATCAGCATCAATCTAGTACAGTACATGTTCAGAATTTCACAAAATGGAAGGAGCTGAAAATTAGGATTTCTCTTGTAGCAATAATAGATAAAATTATTTCCCTAGTTAATGTGAATAATAAAGTGTTGTTCCTCGCCATTCGCTTTTGTTATGATTCCTGGTCAAAATTCCCAACCTCCTCAGTTTGTGTTCGATTTTTATTTTCTCAGTCCGTTTTCCCATCGCATTTCATTAGTGAGTGTGTTGCCTGATTCTGTCTATAGGTAGAATACAGTGGTCACTCATTATTTTTAAGGGGTGGACGGGTCCTACTAACATATGTTTTGTTTTGGTTTGAATATTTGTTGTATTTTTACTATGTTTTGGGATTCATTCCCTTCCCCATTATTTCATGTTTCATGGAATTTATATATATTTTTTGAAAAAAAAAAACATGTAGGGACTTTGAACATTTCCACATTTTTATGTCATGGTTTGTCTTGTAGGTTTCTTGTGAATATGTGGTATTTTGGTAATTGAAAAAGTGAATGACGATGGATAAATTCTTGTGGTGACTGTGTATATTGTATTGAATGAATCCGTTAACTAGGACAGTTACTGATGACCAGTCCTAACCCACTTCCCCCTTTTGCCTTGTGCCACAATTATTTATCAAATACATAAATATTACTTTTTGTGTGATTATTAACATATAAAAAACAGTCATCATACGGGCATTAGATTCTGAGAAATGGATAAAAATATTAAAAATTGATGATTGTACAAATAATTTCGTCGTTGACTGTAATTTATAATTATTAAACTTTAAGGGATTGATGTGCATTGTAATATTGGGGGCCACCCGGGGCGCCAAAAGCACTAGCTACGCCACTGAAATTCCTACGATTCTATTGCCTGAAGGAGGGAGTTCTTACAGAGGTCACATCCTTTCAGGGTCTGATCTAACGGGTCCCTTTTACTTACCTCATAAGACAGAAGTTTTATTTTCGTTACTCTGTAAACAGATTTATTCTCGTTTATTGCGTGACCGTACTTTTCAATCATTTCTCTGAATCTTGCCAAGTTAGTGTCATGTTCCCTTTCATTAATACCGCAAATGGTCACGTCATCTATATACACGAATGTTCCCTTTAAGCCTCCCTTTTCACTTATTTCATCCAAAATTCTTTCAAACCCAGCCATTCCATTTGTGATTCCAAACGGCATCCTTTTGAAATTATAAAATTTACCACCGGCTTCAAAAACCGTGTTTTTAGGTCTATTGTAGAGTACAGACTATACTTTGCTATTTCCGAAAATATCATTGTAATCTTAGGTAGAGGATGGACATCTTTTAAGGTAAAATGATTTATCGTTTCTGTATAATCTATGACTAAACTTTTTTTTTCGTTTCTCGTTCTTAGTTACCACTTCTTGCGCTCTCGACGGAGATCTACTGGGCTCGATGATATCGAAATCGAACAGGCATTTTATTTCCTTCCTTATAAATGCCTCCTCTAGAGAGTCTTCGGGATTTCACAGATACAAGACTACAGTGAGGCGACAGATTTTCACATAGAGGCGAACGTGAAATCCTCAAGCTAACTAGTCCACACAGTTTTAGAGGTGGTGTGTCGCCTTCATATAAAATTTCTTTCCTTTTTTTTTTGTGCAGGCCTTCAAAGTCTTTTCCTTAAAAGACTTGTCAGCACGATAAATTAATTTTTTGAAAATTTCTGTACCCACCGTAAGATTCGCTTTACATTTGCCTACAGTTTTTTAATAACAAGTCAGACAATGCCATGCTGATGGTAGAGTTAGTCGGTTTAACATCAAAACCCATAGATTGAACTACGTCGGTGTCGATAAAACTATGACTACTCGAATCTACTAACGCTGTAATTTTTTTTAGTTCACGAGGCATTTCGAAACTCCCTGTAGCCCAATAGTTACCGTGGCTATGAGGGGTAATTCAGCAGAAAACTTATTAGCTTTCAAATGGCAGACTTGAGTGAAATGATTTTCGACCTGGCAATTGTAGCAAATCCATCTTCGAGCTGGATGTCCGAGTGTCTTCCACCTTTAGATTTTCCTCTTAGTGAGAAGTTAAGGCGTTAGTCCGGGGTTTCGATATCGATGCCGCTTGATAACTTGTTTGGGTATCAGCAGAATAGGCTTCAGAATTTTGGGTAGCCCTTTCCGGTGCGGATAATCCAGAAATAAAGACATATTTAGTAGCTTCCTTTTTGTAAACTTGAGCGGTAACATCTTTGAATTTACTTCGACAGAACGGACAATACTTGAAGATATTGATCCAAGGTTTCTCCAGCCTGTTGAGTTCTGGTTGCAAGTTCATGTCTATCTTATATCTCACTTTTTCCTTTGATGAAAGCTCCTTTTAGAATGTTAATAGATTATTCAAAGTTTGTACATTCGCTGAACAACTCGACGTATAGTTTACAAGAATATCCAATTTCTCACCCTCAATAGGTTTGAGGAAATTTAAAAATGTTCTGTGACAATGATTCCATATTTTCTTTGCTCCGAGTTCCATAAATTTAGGTTTTATTACCCTGTCCATGTTAATATCCGAAGCAAAAAGAAGTAGTAGAGAATTGAATGTGGTAAGCTATAATTACCTAGAAGTATCCACTACTATTTCTCTAGTAGTTTAGTCTTCAATATCAGGTTTAGTTATTTTTACTTATACAGAAATTATGGAACAAAGCCGAAGGGGAAGATGGGGAAGGGCTGGTTTTCATTAGCTGTCCTATTTATTCCGACTCGCGACCCATTCATTCATTACAATTTACTCATTCACCACAGGACCTCATCCATCACTTTTCAATCCTGCATATACTACAATACCGCGTATTCACAGGGGACCTAGAAAACACCCCATGACATAAAAATTTGATTAAAGTCCAAAATGTTTTTTCTTTTTTTTTTTACAAAAATATATAAAAATTTCATGATTCATGAAATGATGTGTGTGTGTGTGGGGGGGTTAACCCAGAAAACTAACTTTAAATGTAGCACAAAAAAAACAAAAAAAAAACAAATGCTAATAGGACCAGTGGACACCTCAAAATAATAAGAGTGGCCGCTGCATTCTGCATAAACAGAATCAAGAAACACACTCACTACTGGAAAGGGAAGGATGAAAATAAATGACGGAATGAGAAAATTAAAGGCTGATCCAGCCGAGATGAAAACAGGGAACAAAAACAAACTGGGGAGGTTGGGATTGTCAACATGGATCATAACAAAAGAGAACGCCGAGAAACAAGTCAGGAACAACACTTATTCATATTAACTAGGAAAACATAATAGTGTTTAACTTAACCAGGGGAGAGTTCACAGGAAACTGCCCCGTTGCATCAAGGGGACTTAAAAGAGAAAATCAAGGCTAACCCCAGCCACACG